CCACAACACCTTAACGAAGGAACCAAAGTAAATCAATTACTCTACATCTCAGCTCTCCTTGTCACTTGGAGGACAATGACACTGTCCAAAATTCATTCAGATGATGAAAAAGATTTGGCTTATGTGAAAACAGATGTGCAGCCAATCTTTTCTTCCTACAAAGTTAGGGGCAGGAGATATATTCAAAGAAATCAGAAAAAAAAAAAAAGAACCAATTCATTCTGGATAGGCACTTTAAACCATGAGAGAAAAGCCAGTGTGTTCCATTTTAACCCTTCTCCATCTACTGTGAAAGACGACAGCTGCCCATCACTGAGAAATACCATGTCCCCAGGACTCTATGAGGTTTGTAATCAATATTATCTTTAATCCTATTATCTTTGTAAGGAAGCAATTGTTTCTTCCCATTCTACAGACGGAAAAACAAGCTCAGAAAACTTACACCACCTCTTAATGGTCATTCAGCTCGTATAGGRGAGCACTGGTCCTCAAACCCAGGCCCCTGGGGTCTATGTGCACATCCTTACCCAAGAACCATTTAAAGACAACAAGAATAACACCATATCATTACAGGATTCACATTCGGTTCCCTTCCTTCTGCTCCCATTTATGAGTACCAGGCACTGTTGTAAGTACTGGGAATGAAAAGATAAGAAAAATTATGGCTTACTGAGCCCTTAACAAGGGCCAGGGCTTCCTCAGCATTCATTTTTTCTTTTTTTACCTTTAATCATTTTTATTTTTGATCGACATAGTAATTGTACGTGATTGGGATACAATGTGATGTTTCAGTTCACCTATACATTTGTGAATGCTCAAGGCAAAATAATTAACCTCTCACCTTAAATGATACTTACCATTTCTTTTTTTCTATTTTTCTTTTTTCGGTAGCATGGATTATACCTGGAGTGTGTAACTACTGAGCAACACCCCAGCCCTTTTCATTTTTCTTACTAAGTTGCACAGGCTGACCTTGAAYGGGCTATCCTCCTGCCTCAACCCCCCAAGTAGCTGGGATTACAGGTGTGTGCCTCTGTACCAAGCTCTTCTGCTGTTTTTGAGAGCTGGGGATCAAACCTAAGGATTCATGCATGCCGGGCAAGTGCCCTCTCACTGAGYTACATCCCCAGCACCTTATCATTTCTTCCTCATGAGAATATTCAAAAATCCTCTCTTGTAGCTATTTTGAAACAGACAATGGATTACCATTAACTAGAGTTCCCTACTGTGCCTGAGAACCTCAGAACTCACTTCTCCTCATAGTAACTCTGTACCTGTTGACCACTCTCTCTCCATCTCCTACTATTTTACTCTCAACTTCGAAGAGATCAACTTTAGGATTCCCCACACGAGTGAGATCATGCAGTATTTGTGTTTTTGYGCCTGGTTTGTTTCACTTAAGCTCAAGGTCCTCTGGGTTTATCCTCGTTGTCACCAACGATAGGATTTCGTCAGTTTTTACACATTTAACCTTCACAGTAAGTCTGTGAAGCAGGGACAATTCTCTTCTGTTTTACAGAGGAGAAAACCAAGGTGGGCAGATGCCACTAGTCCAAGGCCACATGGATCAGCATTAGTGGGACCTGGACTTGAACCCAGGAAGCCTGGGCAGAGGACTTGTGTTATTAACCATGGCACTGCAGACCTCAGGAGGAGCTGCCAAAGTCAGGGCCCTAGAGTGAGGCCAGGGAAACACGACATAAATAGGACCCTGATTCCCATCGACTTAAGAATGGGGTACGCTGATTCTCCGTACAGAGAATCATTTGACAAGTAAACAGTAAAATGGGTGGGGGGCGACCCCAGTGATTAAAGGCAGTTCCTGTRACTGCTGACCTAAGGGCTCCATCATCCCATTGGGCTGTGGCCAGCGTCTCTCTTTTCCATCATGTGTTTGTTAAACTCCAGGGAGCAACAGCACTGCATGGAAATGGTCTAGAAATGCCTCCAAATTGCCCAACTGCCCTCTGTGACATTTCTAAACATCAAAATGACTTCAACCTCAAAATATGCTTATATTTGAAAGGKCAGCATTCTCATCCAAAAGAGACATGGTTTTCCCTCATTTTAGGGAAAAAAAAAATTGTTTTAAGTCTGCTACACCATAGCTGAAGGGATATTGCGAAATCCTCAATGCCCACGTCGCACCTGGAAGAGCTGATCCTCCCAGCAACTGCAGCAGTTGCAAAGGCAGGTGTGCCCGGGGCTCTCACCTAGGTTCAGGGGCCTCTGGTACAGCACATGGCGTCAGGACATCCTGACCCACATTCACAAAGCCGCTGCACAGCTAGCTTGGAACCACATTTTCCCACCAGTGCAAAACARCTCACAACCTAGAAACCTTTATTTTAATTTATGGAGAAAGGCGGTCAACAAATCCAGCCACTTCCATGTGACCACCTGTAGAAACAGGCCAGGCCATGAAAGGAGATGGTTCTTCTAAATGACCTGTATCAGACTGCTGCCTTCATCTCAAAACGGTCCCTTCAAGTCAGCCACCAGATAAGACATCTAAGCCAGAGGACTTTTACCCCAGAACCAAGAAAACATCTCTCTTCTCACTTCCCCTATGATGGTCCTATTTCTTTGTTTGTTTTGGGTACCAGGGATTGAACTCATGGGCACTCGACCACTGAGCCACATCCCTAGCCCTATTTTTTGTATTTTATTTAGAGACAGGGTCTCACTGAGTTGCTTAGTGCCTCACTAAGTTGCTGAGATTGGCTGTGAACTCACAATCCTCCTATCTCAGCCTCCTGAGCCACTGGAATTACAGGCGTGGGCCACCGCGCCCAGCTACATGTGGAAGGGCTGAAGGACTGGGGAGATGTTGGTCCAAAATACAAAATCTCATTTAGAAGGATTCTATTCAAGAGGTTGACTGTAGTAGGGGCTGAGGTTGTGGCTCAGTGGGAGAGTGCTCGCCTAGCATACATGAGGCACTGGGTTCAAACCTCAGCAACGCATAAAAATGAAAAAAGATATTGTGCCCACCTTCAACTAAAAATAAATATTAAAAAAGAGGCCCACTGTATAACAGGGTGACTATAGATAATAATACAACATCTACTTGAAAAATCTTTCAAGCAAAGATTTTAAATGCTCTCAACAAAAAAAAAAAAGGCATGGGAAGAAATGTGTATGTTAATTAGCTCAATTTAGCCATTTAGCCATTCCGCAATGTACACATATTTCAAAATATCATAATTAGACACAATTTTTATTTCTCAATTAGAAATGAAACAGTATTCTCCACTATTTTTACAAACAGAAATAAACAACCACTGGTTAACCGCATGCTGCACTACCATCTCTCCCAGGGTCACTTCCCCACCCCCAAGACCTTCGTCAAAAGGGACAAGAACCCACAGTGGAGCCCGGCGACAAGCTCCTGATGCACATTGCTCCACTGAGTCCCCAACACAAAAGCTGAGCCTGGRTGAGCTCTTCTCCCAAGCAATAAAGCTGGTAGCTTACAGCTCAGGCACCATTAGCAGTGGTTCTTAACCTTGGCTGCACGAGAGAATCACCTAAGRAGCTTTTAAAAATCCCTAGGCCCATGGAAACAGGATCCTTGGGAGTGTAATTCACACACACCGTATTTTTGAAAAGTTCTCCTGGTGCTTTCTCTGTGCAGCCAAAGTTGAGAATCAWCCATCTCCATCCGCATGACCCAGGCAAGGTATCTGCGCCTGAGGATACCTATCCTCTTCCAGGGTGCAGGGCGGACTCCCTGGGCTAACGCAGGCAGCATCCTCAGCACTGCCAGGCACTGTCAATCAATCTTGGAACAGGGAATTAATTCTCTAAGTGGCTGCATCACCATCATGGGATCAAATCTCTCCCTTCTGCACTCAAGGTCTTGTTTTGGAAGGAGACACGGAGGAGAGATTAAGGCTGAACAGGCAGCCAAGGCAACAGCCACCTCTGGCTCCTGTTACTGAGGGCCTGCATCAACAACTCTTTTTTCAAAGTCCCCCTGTGCCCCCRCCCCCACATCTTCAGATGAAAACATTCTCCTGACAGCCTCGTGCCAACTGGATACAGGTCAACACCAATGGCCTCAAAGGGCTTCTTTCCATCTGAACGTCTGCCTTCTTAGTCTCCTCTTTTTAGTCTTCAACTTTAAAAAGCCAGTTTCTAAATCACTCAGCAATAAGGACCTATAACTTAAATGATCCAATCTGCAAATGGCAAGATTTCAGTCCTTTGAGGAGGAGGCCATAAGTCAAATGCTTAACCCAGGGGGTCCTCAACACCATCTGCATAAAACAATCACTTAAGAAAGCCTCAAAGAACACCAATACCCCAGTCCCAACCTCTGGAGATTAACTTATTTGATCTAGAGGGAGGCCCTGAGTATCTACTGAATTTGAAAGTTTCCCCAGATAATTCCAGTAGGTGGTTATCACGAACCCCACCACATCAAAAAACAAAGTGCTTATCCTGGGAGATTGCAACTGTATTTTAAACACCTTCTTCAATCAACTGAGCTACCTTTCAAGACACCAACACCAAGAGGCAAAAAAAAAAAAAAAAAAGAAAAGAAAATCCAACATTGGTGGGAAAGCTTCCTGCCTTTATCTTTTCACTTTAAAAAGCAAGCACAATAATTAAGAATGGCTCATTCCAGGTCAGGTATCTAAAACTATCAGGTCCCCCCCCCCCAAAGGGACAATGAGATCTACTGAAATAACTCATGTTTCTATAACTGGATCCATACATCCTATCCGGCTGGAGGAATACATGCACAAATGAAAAGCTTTAAACTGAATTAGTGCAAACATTTTTTATAGGCACATTAAAGCCCTAGGAGAACCCATCCCATTCTTGACAATAAATTTATGTCTTATTCAAGAAGCTGTAATGCTTCACACTGTGAAAAAATATGTAAGTAAGTAAACCTATCATTGCTTTATCACCTTCCACCCTCCAGCCCCACAGAGCCAATGCCCTTCAAGCAAGTCAAGGTGACCCCTCAGGAAGGCCACCCACCTTACCTCTGAATTTCTTAGGTGGGTTGTTAAGGTCTCCAGCTTCTGGCTGTACAACACAACGATCATCAACCAGGCTGCAAAGAAAACAGAGACGAGTGCCAGATCAAACCAAGTCTAGGAAAATAAAACTCTCGGCGCTACACAAAAAATTAAATATCCCAGGGCTTTTCCTGCACAAAATGTAGACTTCGTGTTCTTCTGCCAGGGACCTGTTTGCAATAAAGGAAATGGAGTTCCATCTAATCCAAAAGCCCAAGGTTCTGTTTCTATGCTGGATGCATTAGGCGACTGTTCTCTGCCCTGAACCATATTCGTGATAGATGTGGGTACAATCTGCTACACTGCCAAGGTCAGAAGACATCAAAAAAAAGAGGGCGAGTGCAATCCAACAAATGGTTAGCTGAGGTGCCAACTTTGCGCCAGGCACTGTACTAGGCCCTGAGATGTGAGGGTGAAAACGAGCCCGGCCCCAGCCCTTAGCGAGCGTTAAGGCTACTGCAGAAGCCACAAAAGCAAACTGATAAGGACAGTGTAACTGAAAAGGCTGTAAAAGAAGGAAGAAAATACAGCCAGAAACCCAAAGTGGCTGAGGCCACCAGAGCAGGAGGCAGAGGAAGTTACGCTGGAATTAGTGGGAGTGTTGAAATAGAGGTGGGAAGACAAGGAGGGTAACGTCTCTAGGTGCCAGAAGCCCAGAGAAAACCCACAGAGATCAGGACGGAAGGATTTGGAGCTTCAAACGTGATGAGTGGACAAAGCAGGAAAATAAATTACCAATAAACAACCAACCTCCCAACCTCCCCGGCTGAAAGCAAAGCTGCTCTAGGCTACGAGTGCCATGAAGGCCATGGGAGCCTGGTGTGCAGCCCACAAGATGCCCAAGGATGGAAGTCAGTGTCCATTTGGTGAGTGAACCAGTGTCCAGAGTAGCCACGGGCATCTAGCCTCCTCGGGCTTCAGAGCGTAAGACCTCAGTGTGTATCAACAGGAGCGCGGATGTGGTCCAGGGTCTGAGGCTTTCTGTTTCTTTTTCTATCATTTATTTTTTTATTATTTCTATTTATTTATTCATTTACTTATTTTTGCAAAAACTCAAAAGAGTATAAAGGGCACATATAAAAACTCCACCCTGGGGTGTAATCACATGAAAAGCAAATGGAGATCAGCAGACCAGAGGAATCTGACCTGGAGTTGGGGGGGAGGGGAAGGAGGGGCGGGAGGGAGGGAGAAAGTACAGGGGATGGATATTGACCAAATTATATTGTTACATTGTGTGCATGGACTAAAATGCAAGGGCAAATCCCATCATTAGGTAACAGCATAATGCACCAATAAAACAAACCCACCCTCAATCCTATTAGTGGTAATACCACCAAAGCCAACAAAAGACTTGAAAAGGTGGGCGCAGAACCCCAGGCAGGGCTGTCATTCATCCAATTCTCAAACCAGGAGGAAGGAGGAGGACAAAAGGCCCTGTTCAGGTCTAGACTGCTGAGGGCTCTCTGCCACCTGCAGATGTGACTGTCCTTCTCAACCTTTCTGATCTCAGTCTCTTCATCTGTAAAACGGAAGACTTGGTCTCAAAGATTCTCACCTTCGCTCATCAGTTTTTCTCTGTCTAAATAACACTCATCCCAGGACCCTGTCATCCCTCAGGCTTACTGAAGAGAAGGGACCCAAGAACTTTTATCTCTAACAGGATCTGGAGGTGACTCAGAAGCRCATCACTAGTTAGCATCTGTGAACACACTGGCTCGCTCTCTCTTCTCAGCTGTGACTCCTTGGGCTGGAGTTCTAAAGCTCAAGGAGCAGATGAAGCCACTCGGAGGTGAGCACACCCATCTCCACCAATAGGAGGGGCCAAGGATCCAGATACCAAGTCCCACTGAGCCCCATGACTGGTCCTTCATAAAATAACATTAATCATATCAAAAAGGAAGAAGGGGGGCTCAAACTTAGTTTTCCAAATCAATTTTGATGCCAACTATCCTCCAATATATGCAGATAAAAAGGTGAACACAGTATTCATCCAAAGCAAGTACCAGAGCTGGGCACACTGACACATGCCTGCAATCCCACAGACTCAGGAGAYCAAGGCAGGAGGATCACAAGCCTCAATAACTTAGTGAGACCCTGTCTCAAAATGAAAAAAATAAAAGGGTCTGGGGATGTGACTCAGTGATAAAGTGCCCCTAGGTTTAATCCCCAGGTTAAAAAAAAAAAAAAAAAGTATTAGAGATCTAAATTTTAAAGAACAGCCACCCTCTCTTGATTGCATTTTAAATTTTTTAAACATTTTTGCAGGGTTGGGGTTGTGGCTCAGTGGTAAAGAGCTTGCCTAGCGTATGTGAGGCACTGGGTTCGATTCTCAGCACCACATTAAGTAAATAAATAAATAAAATAAAGATATTGTGTCTAACTACAACTAGGAATATTTTTTAAAGACTAATTTTGCAGTGCTAGGGATCAATCCATATCTTCACTTTATGTGTGTGCAGGGGGTGAGGGGGGCTCATTCATTAATTAGTTTGTAATACTTTTTAATAGGAAAACATAAAGCAAAGAGTTCGAACCTTGGAGTTTTAAGAGGTAGGACCCTAAAAAGAGGTACAATCTCAGGGGCTGACTGGGACTCTGCATCTGACCCGCATGCATGTGAGCCTGGATGGCTTGGTGGGACAAGGGACCCTGAGGAATGGTGAGCATACAGTGGGGCAGAAGTCTGACAGCCCTGACATCCAGACCAGAGCTGTGGGCAGACAGCGAGGAGGGGTGCTCTGAGAAGCTGGGAAGGGAAAGGCTGCCCTACAGAAGGTAAGTGTCAAGACCCCTGGCCTTGGAGACGAGAGCCTTCCAAACTGTGAATCCTTGGACAAGCAACTGCACCTCTCTGAAGTGCAGAGGTGAAGCCCCCATGAACCATGGTGACACCGTGAAGAGGTGGGTGTTGAGGATTAAGAGGAGGGTGTGGGCACGGGACCTAGTACAGCACCTGGCACACAGTGAACACCCACGGGGCTCACGCAGGGCTTACCGCTGCTGTATGTTACTGTCGCCATTGCTGAAAAATAAGAGGGTGAAAAATTCAACCATGGTGGATGGAAAGGAGGAGGAGGCAGCTGAGATGAAAGAAGGGGCGGTCAGAGAGGAAGAAGAGGTCCACCAGGTAGGGACATSAAATGTAGAAGCAGTCACTAGACTGGTGACCGGGCAGACCCAGTGACTTCTTTTTTATCAGATGACTGGAAACCAAACTTTCTGTACAGTGAGAACCCAGGTCTAATTGAGCTGTAATTCTTTATTTGAAATACTTTCCTCCTTGAGGGTGGAGTAAGCTGACTGAGGCCTTGGGAATACTCATGGCACCAACACCAGAAAACAAGCCTGATTTCCATAATAGCTATAATTAAAAGGAAGACTCTGGCTGCTGTAAAACAGAGGTTTTTGGAGATACTATGGACCTGCCTTCTCCCCATTTACTTGAGATCAGCTCTTGCCAAATTCAACAAAGCCTCCCCAGGCCTAAGTACTCCTCTGTACAGAGTACACACCATTCCTGACTGTCCGGAGTTCACCATGTTGATCCTCCATTCTGCTCTTGTCTGCCTTGGGGGGCCACTTGGCTTCTCATTTCCTCTTTTAGACAATAGGAATAGGAGGAAAGGGGAGAAGATAATTCAAAGAGGGCATAATGGCATATATTTATATCCTTAAAAGTGGAATCAAGGGCTGGGGCCATGGCTTAGAGGCAGAGCACTGGATGCATACATGAGGCACTGGGTTCGATCCTCAGCACCACATAACAATAAACAAAAATAAAGGCATTCTGTCCATCTACAACTACAAAAAAAATTTTAAAAAGAAAAAAAGTGGAATCGAGATTGAAGAAAGCACAAATAGAGAAACCCAATTGACACAACTTGGTGTCTTTTGTAACTTTCAAATGCATTCGGCAATTTAGAGTAGGAGAGTTAAGGAAGGTTCTGCTTCAAAGAGACCTAAGCATCATAGAAGTTCTGAATTCATAGAGTCCTAACTAATGAGGGGTTTGTTCTTTCAAAACAGATGGAAAACAGTATTCTTGTGTAAGAGGTTAAACTTGTCTAACTTGGGATTTGGAATCTGTGATTTCAACCGCCCTTGGGAAAGCCGAGTAAAACAGTAACATGCTTATCTTAGGGAAAAAAAATGTTTTTGTTTTTTTTTTTTAAGCAGATGTTATGATATCTTAAACAAGATCCTGCCACACAAGAAACTGTGTGCTCTTACCCCAAGGTGCTGATAAATCCATTTGTCGATCCCTCGGCGTACAGAGAACAAATGTCTCCGATATGTAGGAAACTGGCCATTTTGTCAGACATGGCTTCCTTGAAAATCCTAGACAAAATAAAATATGCAACATGGTTAGAAGCCATGCCAGCTGGTAGGGGTAGCGGGGGTCACCGAGAGCTGGCTTAGTTCAATGTTCCAAAGTGCCTTACTTAAAAACCAAATTTAAATAGGACTTTGACAGGCAGGAGATTCCATGAGCCAAGAAAGGACATAATCTCAGGACATCCCAACCACAGTAACATTCGTCTCTAGCAAAACCAGCCTGAATTGGATTCTACAAGTTTCGGACCCTCAATAATAAACAGTGACTATAAAGACTGCAGGAACTTGGACAAGAACTTACAGCAATTAAGGGGTTGGAAAGTCTGACTTATGAAACATTAACAGTCAATGCGCCTCTGGGAATGTTAAGTTAGAAGGAAACACCTGGTATAAAACTTGAATCTGGCAGGGCTATTAGCCCAGGGCCAAGGTACCAAAGAACAAAATGATATTAACAAAAGGAAACCCGGTGTCATAAATACCCCCAAACCCTAGCTGCCTTATTAAAAATTCAACTGTACACCCTTCACCCAAATGTTACTTAAATGGTTTGTTGTTGGTGGTGGTGGTGGTGGTTCTTCCTTCACCAAAAATACTTCCAGAGAGAGAAAGGTCGTAGGACAGCACCTGGCTCCAAACCCTTCAGTATTTGGGTGAAAATAATAAGGTTCCCAGGCCAGTGACAGAGCTAGTCAGAGGCAGTCTTTGAAAATACTAAGTTAAGTTCCACGAAACCTTTACAAAGCCCAGAAATCATTACACACACACACACACACACACACACACACACACACACACACAAATATCAACAAAAACATTGAAGTGATTCATAAAAACAGCTTTTCATCAGGGCCATGAATACTGAGGAGTGGGAGCCAATTTTAAAAAGCTGAACTGACATCGACCAAACAAACTCCTTCATGTGGGAGGATGGCGGGCTGCTATGGAGAGCAGTTCATTCCCCGCAGACACCTGGCTGGTAGATGTGCAGAGAAACAGAGGGCTCCCCCAAGCCCAGACCCCTTTAAACACCTTTACCACCTGCTCCCCTCCCAGGTGTCATTTATCTGGCAAAGCCCAGGGACTTGCAATGGTGTGGAAAAGTGCTCTCTCCCCTTCAACTGCTTTCTGGGTGCCAAGTTTTCTTTTAGGAAGAATCAGGCAGCAGTGATCACCATGGAACTTGGGGAAGCACTCTCCTCCCTTAGCAGGAATGCCAGCTACTGAGAGCAAACCCTTTCAGCTCAGTCCCCTGCTTGTGAGAAGCTGCAGGGGAGGACTCATTTTTCCCCCTCCACACAATACAGACCTTGCAAGAGAGATAAAGAGCATTTCACCAGACACAAACTTAATAGAGGGAGAGAGCAACTGAGAATACAGAATAAACTCAAACCAAAGAGCCAGCATCTGTGAACCTGAAGGAAAGACACAGAGAGGGCTGGCCAAGGGCTGCCCTCTAGAATCCTGTCAATCACTGGTTGTTTCCTCTTAACTAGGTACTACACCGAAGGGAAGGCAATTTTTAAGAATTTTTAATTAATTAATTTATTCATTTTTACAGTACTGGAAATTGAACCAGGGGTGCTCTATCTCTGAGCTATGTGCTCAGCCCTTTTTGAACTTTGAGACAGGATCTTACTAAATTGCCCAGACTGGCCTCTAATTTGCAATCCTCCTGCCTCGGCCTCCCCAGTAGCTGTAGTAATTACCTCCCCACAAAGGTTTTAAACAATATCCCTGCTGGTGGCACTAGTGGCAAACACCAACGGGTATTAATATTTTCTCCGTGAGTTTATCTTTAAAAGTTTTATCTTTAAAGGACCAGAAAGTCAGCCTATTTTGCTATGGTACTAGGGCTCAAACCCAGAGCCCTGCACATGATAGGCAAGACTCTACCAGTGGGGGACACCGCTAGTCAATTCTGATATATTTTAAGGAAAACAAAAACAGGGTATCATGTATCATGAAGGCACAAAATGATTTTTCTTTCCAGCGCTGGGGAGTGAACTCAGGACTTTGCACATGCTAGGCAAGTGCTCTGTCCCTGAGTTACATTCCCAGCCCCTGGGACCAATTACTGGAAAACAATGTTTGAATTTTGAGTCAGACCAAATCTGTGTCTGCACACTCCAGCCTCCCAGAAGGACAAGGGGGAACTGCCAAATACAAAAGAGCAGGTATGTGCTTGGGCAAGACGACCAGGGCCTTCCTTGTCCAGGGTGACTAACACTCTCCTCTGGGCCTGCCTTTCGAATGGGCATTGGGTCCCAGTGGGGACCAGGCCAGGAAAGAGCAGTGAGACTGCTGTGTTAGGAACTTTCATCACCATCTGGGTACCCTACTGAAAGGTTTCAGGTCCGTAAAGCGAAGCAGCAGACACAATCCAGGATTCTGGAATGACAAAGTGTGACGTCACCAATGTCGCCTGCAGCTGATAATGGCAACAGATGCTTAGATACTGAATTTCGACAGCAAGATTCTGCCTGACTTGCATTCCTGATCGCAAGAGCTAACCATAGCCAACCAAGCACTCTCATGCCCACAAATGTTCTCTCGCTGAATCTTCACCACCATAGCCCGGGACAGGCACTGCCATTATTCTCATCTTTTGCTGAGCAAATGACCTCCAAAGAGGTTAAGATGCCCAAAGCATATAAAATTAGCGAGCAGGTGGACCAAGGTTTTTAACCCGAGTCTGACTCTTAAATGAAGTCTTCATCAACAATCCCTAGAACACAGGCCAAACTGTTCACTATTCTTCTTCCCTGGATGGTGAGATTATGGGGGACCAATTTTCTTCTTTATGCACAATTCAGTTTCCTAATTTTTCTACTGTGACATTTCCTAACTTTTCAATGTAACATTTCCATAGGTCACAGGGAAAAAATTAAGCAGATTCTCGCTCACCAATATGCTTATTAAGTTGACAAGATAATTGAACAAGTAACCTTTAGCCACATTTTACATTTTCCCCTGAAAACACAGGCCCCTGCCTGCCCCACAGTCCTCAACCAGGCAAGCAGCCAGTAGGAGACAGATTCTTCCCCAAGGGAATCGGCAACAATCCCTCTTGCTGAGAACCAGAAAGAAGGCTCCGGTCTCTCTGGTAACCTCTGGAGGTCTCCCCTGGCCTACCTTTAATGAAGAGCATGGGAGGGAGGGGGCTGGTGCAATTACCAGTGAGGTCCGGGAAGGAAAAACAAAGGCCGGGGAAAGTCAAGAGAACAGGCCGCTGGGGTTGAGGGGAAGAGGTGGGAAGCAGGGCCCTGAGAGCAATCTTTAGGAAGACTTCCTGTTGTTGGGAAGCTGGGTGGGCGAGCCTGACTCTTTATCAGATTCTGGACCATTTGTGTCTGCAAGCCTGGAGCAGCTGCATTCAGGGCTGGGTGTCACTCACACAATGGCTGTGGACCACACGGGAGAAAAACAGAGCCAGCCTGCCATGGAGCTGCATTATTGTGGTGCCTCCAACTCTGGGGACACACCCGGGGCTCTTGGCTAACAAGCTCTGACACACAGGAGAACAGATCGGGTGGTCAGTCTGGGAGGGCCAGCCTGGTGCTCTATAGGTATAGCTCTCCTCCGCATTGGGGATAATGCTAACTTCAAGGGAGTGTCTCAGCAAAAGAGGAGAGCATGCTTGCAAAGGGCCCGGTACAGTGGCCCTTTGCACTGCTCAACACTACCTATTTTCTCTTCAATGAGGAAAAAAAAAAGTAAAATTGTGGAAGACTCCAGGGTTTCAAATATTCTTCATGAAGGTGAGGATCTGCTGTATACAGAGTCAGCTGGGTATTTTAACAAATCGTCTCCTGTCTGACCCATGACATGTATTTTACTTCAGGGAAGATAATCATCCTCCTTAATTTCCCTGTAGGGAAAAAGCTGAACAACACAGAATTATATGCAGCTCCCTACCAGAGGATGCTGGCCTTGCAAAATACACAGACTTGCAGAACAAATGCTGGTATAAAGCATGCAGTGAAATCTCTCGTCCAGCAAGGCAATCCCCCCACGGCGTCCCTTCTGGTTGGACTCAAGTTCTGGCTCAGCATCTGACCTTGATAGAAATACCTCTACTGTCCCCCCGTCACACACACACCCACAAGGACAGGCGTCTCCTGGAACTCTGGCTACTCATCTATCCTTTGACACACCCTTTGCCCCAAGGAGCCGATGGTACGGCTTCAAAGTGACTGCATCCAACCCAACTCTGCCATTTACCCATCATCACATTCACCAAGCACTCAGCAAAGGACCCTGCATGCAGTGGACATGCTATCTACAAAAGCTTCGACTATGAGACCGCAGCTGCCACCAGCCACTACCCCTGGGAAGGCTGAAGCCCCTGGTAAAATAGGTTTATTCCCAAGGGGCATGGCCAGGGCAGCGGAAGGTGGAGTGCTGCCCCTGGGAGGGGAGCCCACAGATGTAGCCCTAGCAGCCATCCTGCCCACTGGCTGAGCTCCCCTTTGCCCTGGGAGAAATGTCTAACCTGGGCGATGTTTGAGGAAAAGGGAAATGGGAGTCMGTTCCTAAGCAGGGAGCAAGGACAACAGTCGCAGATCTCCTGGGCAAACAGAAGCCAGGGGTGGTGGGCTTCCCCTCTGTGTCACTCTCTGCCCTCTCTGTATCTTCCCTGCATCTCCTGGTGCACTCTGCTGGCCCCAGCCACCTCCGTGTGTCCAGGGTTCCCGGGTCTACATCTCACAGCTTGTAGATACCAGGGTTCTGCTCCTGGATGCCCACAGCATCTCAACTGCAAAAAAGCACCCACCTGCCTGCCCAGCTGCTCCTCTTCCTCCGCCTGTGCACTGTCTCAGCTGCCAACACCAAGGCCAAGTGACACCTCCAGTCTCCCTTCTCTCCTTATGGCTACTGCAGGGCCTTTGCCCATGTTTTGAGCCCAGAGCATTCTCAACCCTGGCCCTACCCTTGGCTCTAGTGAAGGCTGAGTCTCCCTTCAGATCTCCATCAACTGCCATTTCCACCAGAAATGCTCC